GTGCGTCGTCTCGGTTTCTGGGGGCTTTTCCCGCCGGGGCGCCCTGGGGCGAAAGAGTCTGGGTGCCTCGGGTAGGCTTGGATCCTCTCTGTCTGGTGTCGTTTCTATGCAGGTTCCCTCTGTGCCCGCCCCTCGGCGGGCGGTGAGGGGCTGCTGCGGGTGTTAGGGCGTGGAGGCAGAGGCGGACGCTGGTGAAGCCTCAGCCTCTTCCCCCTGCGCCGAGCTGCTCTCCGGTGTGGTAAAGCACCGGAGTAACAGCAGTGGCGTAGCCGGTGGCACTGACGGAAGTGGGCGCAGCTGGCCGTGGGAAAACCGAGCTGGCCGAGCTTGGGGCTCCCTGCAGGCGGAGCTGGTGAGGGTTGTGCTGGGCCCCGGCTGTCGCTCTGCTCTGCCTCTCTGAAAGAAGAGATGCCTTAGGGTGGTCCTTTACGACACGGGCGTCCCTTGAGGTGTTAGTGCTGACTATTAGAGGCAACATAATGGCCGCATGATTTTCTGCTTTGCTCTTTTTTTTTTCCTGTAACTTGAAGAGACCTCTTCTTAATTTTTTTCCCCTCTCCAAAGGGCTCATGTTTGTTGAGGACAACATATGCCAAGTTGGGAGAGGAGACCAAAAATCCAAGTTGTGATTTATAGTGAAGTCATATGTAGGGTTCCTTGTATTCCTGCACTGGTTATATTTGTCCTTTGCATTGCATTTGTCTGAGGTAGTCAAATTGTGTGCCTTCAAGTCTGGGTGGCAAAACACCCAACTACTGCATTGGACCACCAATCCATAATTCCTGTGTATCGTTCATTGCCTTTTGCTGTACATCCTTAGTCCCTAGTATTTGCTATATTAAGGTCAACAATAATGTAACCTGTTGCAGGTAACGCCAAATCTTGCCTTATCTGTTGATCCGTTTTGCAACTTACGTATTAGAAGGACTCATAGGCCCTGTATTGCTTGCAAGCAATCGCTATTCTGCTTATAAAGTGATTTAAAGCTTTAGTTACTTGTTTGCTCTACAGATACTGCATGTATTACCGTTTGGTTGCTGTGTCTTTTTTCAGATCACTATGAAGGCCTTGTATTGTCAGCAGAATTCACCTGGAGAGGAAATGACATTTGTCTTCCAGGAAAGAGTGAGTTCTGGTCATAATAGCACTATTAATCATTCAGTAGAAGAAGAGAGTGTGGCTGAATGCCACAAGGGAATTGAAACACCTAACTTTTTTGTAGACTTAAAAACAACTGGTGTAATCCTTGCACATACAGGCAGGTAAACAAAGGTATGGGAGGTGTATTTTACCATCATCATGCAGCACTTGGCAAGACCAGTGCTAGATTTCTCTGTGCAGTTTTGGTATCCATATTTTAAAAACAAGTTTTGGAGATGTAACAAATGAACTCTGACTTCATACAGATTCACATCTCCTGGTTGGACTTTTTGGTCACTGAAAAACAGAAAATGCAGCTTGAGAAAGTTGTTATGCTTGGAGTGTTCCTACTGTTTTTTTCTTTCTTCTTGTGAGTTTTTTGCTCTTAGCGAGGATTGAGATTACAGCATAGCGTTTTTCTCAGAGGCATTGATAAGTCTCCTTTGTCTAGCTACTTATTTTCTTTCAACTTAAAGGAACATTGAGGAGACAGGTATTTTTCTGTCAAGTTTAGCTGAAACTATCATGCTAAAAAGTCTTTGTCAGTTTGATGAAAACAGTTGGATAAGTGCATACACGTGAGCTTGTGGCATAAGGCTAAAACAGAATGTCAGTGTATATTGATGCAGTGTGGGTGTCTGAACAGTAGAAAAATGCTTACGTGTATTTGAGGATATGAACCTGTGTTCTCAAATCTCTTACAGGTACGAAATAAATTACTATAGATACCTATGTGTATCTGTGTAATTTAAATACCTAAGTATACCTATAAGCCATATATCAAAATGAAACAGTGTAGTACTAGTGAAAATCTTGCTGAGCAGCTGCAGAGTCCCATCTAAAAAGCTTCCTGAGAACAGAGATGCAACAAGGTGATTTTGATACAACCAAAATGCATTTTGATGGAGCAGTCTAAGATCTGCTTGTGAAACTGATTGTGAAATTGTGTGCTTTTGCTGAAAAAGCTTGTTCAGTTTTCAGCCACACATTTTTATTTCCTTCATTGTAATAGTTTTAGGAGTCGTGCAGCTCTAAGCCAATGGATCAGTTTACTTATCCAGGTGAAAAGTAGGAATTTGTACAAGTTAGTTCCCATCATTGTGATGGATCCATGATTTCTGGCTCTGATACAAAGAAAGGAATGGCAATATGTAGATGCTGGGAACAAGTGGGCCTGACAGCTCTGGTACAGTCTCAGGTAAGCTAAAGCAGGTTTTGAAACTGCACTCCTGTACCCAGACTTTGTCTGCCTACTTGCCTATTTAAATCTCTTTGGACAGGAACTGATTCTGCAGCTGTCTGTGTAATGACCAGCACTATAGAATCTTCATCTTAAAGAGAAATAAATATTGAAAAAAGTGAGGAAAAGGAAAGCTAGTTGGCTGAGGAGATCTTAACAGAATAGAAGGTGGATAACCAAAAGTCAGTAGCTTGATGAAGAATTTCCATAGCAACCCTTCCTTATATGGTGCTTGGTCAGTTCCTAATAGTGACATACTTAAATTATGAAGGCAGGAACTGATTAACAGCACAAACATTTAATCATTTATTTTTGTTTTTAAGACTTACATTCTTTTATAAAGAAAAGCAATTTTATGAGTTATGCATGCCAAAAGGATCATTCTAAAATATAATATAATCTTAAATTTACGTAAATTACTTACGTCCCTTAGAATCTAATTTTTTTTTTTTCCTTAAACTAGAGATGCGGTATTTGCATAGTTCAACAGTTTAGCGGCTTCTCTGTTCTGTGGGACAAAACCAGAGAACCCACTTTGGTTTGTTTGAGGAGCAGGAGGTCAGTCTGACTGGCAAAATGCCTTGTAATTTTAAAGGAATAGCATTTGTTTAACTCAACTGGGGTGAGAAAAAGTTCAGCTCAATATTCCTTGGACAGAGGTTACTGTTCCTGTTGCTAAGCCTATCAGAAAAGCAACAGCTGTTTCTTAGGAAGAGTTTAAAAAAAATCAAGCAAGCAAGCATAAACACTTAAGAATATATCTTAACTTCAGAAGTAGAGACAAAGTGCTCTCATGACTTCCTGGTAAGTGCTCCACTTTCAATTCCAACTGACACCTGCACTGGAGACTACAGTATAACATGGAAATACATTCTTTTGTCTCCAGTACCTGAGTGGAAGCAGTGGAGTCAACAGTCCAGAACTCAACTTGGCTAATTAAATACTTTAAAGTAGCAGTACTGAGCTGCTTAAAATCTTTTCAGATATTGATCCCAAGACCAAAATTTTAAATAGTAAGGCAAGGCTTCGTTAGTAGAACACTTTTGTACGTAAGGTAGCCATCATTTGTGGAACTTAGCAACAATTCTTATCAGTGCTGTTTCTTTGATACCATCTGGACTACTTGAATATTTTACCTCAGTAAGTTTTTCACTACAGTAAGTCAGACATTCGTGTCAAAATTCTCCACTCTTGCAATATAGTTTTTAATATCAAAGTTCTGCTTCCTTCTATTTGTTGGACAGACGCTAGGGGGTAATTACATACTAAAATTGCTTTAGACAAGCCTGTGATATTTAACTTGCAGAAAAGAAAAAAACACAAAACAGAAAAATGCCAGTGGCTGTTGAGGTTTAGTAAGGTCTAGTGGTCAATTCGTAATAGTAGTATACACATACTCAAAATGGTGGTGTAAATCCATTGTGATATCAGTTCCCTTTTCATTGAAAAAGAATTTCTTGTTCTGACTACAGAACAATCTGAAACAAAGACGCTGTGGAAAAGTGCTTTCAAAAGCTTGAGAGGATCCTACTAGCACATTCATGTTGCATTGTATAATGTAATGTCTGTAAATTTGTCCTAGGAAAACCTTCCTCCTACAAGAGACAATGATGTGAAAGTACAAGTTAGAGCCTGTGCACTGAGCTGGATAGATACAAAGGTATTTGCTTATTTTTTTAATAAAAGCTAGAGGTGTTTATAGTTTCTATTGAAGATCTAAGCCAGGGCTTTTGCTGGTAATTGGCACAATTCCATTTATGCCATTTGAGGATATGGCTTTACTGCTAAGAAAGAGGGCCTAGGATTGATGTGGTATTCTTTCATATCTCTTTAAATAAAAAGCACCTGTAATTTTGTTCCTACTTTATGGAGAAAGAGCAGTTGTCATTTGTGAGTTCTCTTACAGTAAATCCCTTTTATCATCCTTTGCATACTGACTTTAAGTCCCAGTTTGGCTTGCCTGTTAATAACTCTGGTTTTATTTTTTTAATATGCTTCTAAATTTAAATACAGAAAACAACTGCAAAGTTTTTAATATTAAATGAGGAATGTTGTATTTTTTTCCCTCAGATAACATTTTGGTTATGGCCCAACTTTCCTACTGTGAATATCAAACACTGTTAAGATGACAATAAATATGCAAATTTTGAGCCTCAGTGAGAATGTTGTAATCATCATTTTTATTTAGCTTCTGTCAGAAATTAAACTGGAGAAGGAGCTTCTACCTGTTGGTCGAGAAATTTCTGGAGTTGTATTGGAAGGTAAGTTAGTATAATTGTCTTGTGAGGATATGAAGCAAGAATTAAGGTCTGGTAATCTAGAACAAATAAATACTGTTTGCATGGTACCCCTTTAATAGTAGGAACTATTTGCTTTCATAATGAGACCTTCCCTAAGTCAATAGTGATACTGAAATTAAAACTAAAAAAAGGAACTGAATTCCTGCATATCTGTTCTGAGTCTTAAAAAAAAATTCCATGACAGCTTTCTAAATAAAATATACTGAGATCTTATGATATTACCTACACGTGCTATATCAATCTTGAATTTATTTGTAAAAATCACTTGTTGGAATAGCAAAGACAAAATAACATTCAGGAATTTTGGCAGTGTTTCACTGGCATATCCACCTTTGATTCTTAGTTTAAAGCCTGGACCTTTCAAACACATACATGTGGGTACTTGCATGTACCTGTGCATGGGGTGCCAAAGTTTAGTGAATTAAACATTTGGTTTTGGTATGTGCATATTTAATAGGAAAAAATCTTATTCACTAGCAGGGTATAATTTTAGTTTTCTGAGCTAGTGATAAACAGTGCTTTCAATTGCATGTTCAATTTCAGCTATTGGCATTTATCTTCATACCTTCTTTCTTCCTTTTCATATATTCTTCATGAGTTGGAAGAAAGGTGACCTTTTTTCAGCCAGATGATGAAGTGGTGGGTAAGTTAATCCTTGTTTGCTTTATCAACTAACACAATTAATAAACTTTTTATAATTGTTGCTACAGCTACAATTAGACATTTATTTTCAAAGATTCAACTAGTATCACATGAGTAAACTCTTACAAGAGAATTGTATTCTAAAAGTGTTCTCTTAGGGAAGTTTTTTGGTTATAAGAATGAATGTTCAGGTCCCTAGCTAGTGTAATCTGTTAGAGTCCTACTGCATTCACCAAATCTTTAAGAATATACACCTGGGTCCAGTTAGGCATGTGGAGTGGGTGTTCTAAAGACAACCATCTGAATACATACAAAATTACTTGTACTTATAACACCATCCTGATTTAATTAATATGTATGTTTTGATTTCTGTGGAAGATACAAAGTCTAGGCTTATATTGCCTGCCTTCTTGAGGATGATATAAAAATATACTTTTAACTGCTGGTGACGATTCTCTTGTTCAAGCACACTGAAGTCTCTTCAGTTTCTTCTAAGTCATGTCAATTCCTGTTTGAGTAAAGAAATCAAGAGTGGTCCCAGCTTAAACATGCAAGTTCTACTGGATTTTCTGAATTGCCAAAAGTAGTGCACGTACTCAGGTGTTTTGCTAAATGCAAGGCCATATTTAAAAAGAAACAGATTCCAGGTGCGCACTTTCCAGAATCTTCATTTTTACTGGACATTAGAATTCTTGCAAGTGGGTGTGTTTCCCCCCTGACTTAACCACAGTGAGTCCATGCTTTATGATCCTGCTATGACATTATTATCAAAGAAACCCATCAGAAGGGCAAATGGTAATCACTGTACTTCTTTTGTTTGTTGTTTAAAACAGACTTCCAGGTCAAAAAATCACATGGAAAGTGTTTAGGACTTTTCTTTTCCTGGTAAAACTTTGGCAGTCCTTTCATATCATTAGCTTAAATATAATGGAATAAGATGTATGATTATTATTATTATTTATCCACCACAGAAGTTGTAATTATTACAGTTGGGAAATAATACTCCATTTTATGGGTACAGAAGTGGCTTTGCTTTGTCTAATAAAGCAGAACGGTTATGGCCAGACATTTTCTGGTCTTACATATGAATTAACTTTGAACTATGAATAGTAAAATTATTGTGAATAGTATTGCTGATTTGGTTAAATATCTTACTGATACATGCTGCATCTCTTGAATATTTTAAAATAGCATTTGTGTTCAAATCACCTTCTCTTGTAGTTGAAGGAATACAGTTTTAGTAAGCAGTTAGGGAAAAAGCCCTCTGATAATACATTACTGTACCTGAAAGGTCTAAATGATATTCTAAGAGGCTGTAGGAGGGTTGGGGTTTTCTTATGAATTGAGACTTGATTCCATTCTTGTTAATTCAAATATAGAATAAGTAGTTTGAATCAGATGAGCTATTTCAATGTCAATCTGACATTAAGGGAATGGAATCTATACTTGGGTCATGAAAGAAGCAAATTCATTCTGTCTGAGATGTCTGTTGTCTGCGGTTTTTGTTCTTGAATACTGAATATATTTTTGTGATTGCAGGTACAGAAAAGTCAGAATTACATGTATGGACATAGGGAGATGAAGAAAACAACATTAAATATTTTTAGCTCAAAAAGAAAGAAAACTCACTTCTTTAAATACTGAAATCTCATAGCATTCACTTTCAAACAGCTGTTCAACCTTATGCATCCAATTTAGATGCTATAAAGACAAAAGATAGGAGTGAAATATTTTCATTATGGTAAATCTTTCCTAACAAGCACACTTCCCAGTTGCTATTGCTCTGAGTTTATATGTAGTTAATGAATGAGCAGATTTAAAAGAAAATGAGCTGTTGCCAAACGGTTCAGTTACCTGTGTGCTTAATAACATTGAACTGCCCTAAAATGTGCAGTTGTCAGAAAAAATATCTCTATTTGAATTTTACAAAAAAGCTTGTCCCTCTTTCGAAGAGTATAGTCCTGGTGTGTACTCCTTACTGAGTTTAACAGCAGTAATATGGTACTACAGTCCTTAATTTATTAACCTACTGTTTTTCATGTAAGAGTAGTGCTGTGCTCACTGGAAGTACTTGGTGTGTCAAATAATTAATCTATTCCTAAAATCATGCCAAGAATTATTTCTCGCTCTTCAAGTTTTTCTGATCCTTATTTAAACTTCCAGAGGAGATTCTTCTGTCCGTATATGTATTCTCTTGTACATAATCATTTGTTTGGTTAAAAAAAAATACAGTAGTAAAACCAGCCAAAAATAATTTGTTTTGAGCTACATTCTTGATTTCGTTTCAAAGTTAATCAGTTTTATTTGTTGCTCTTAAAATCTTTTAGCAATCAATTATGCCATGTTTTTCATCAAAGTAAGTGCAGGGAAAAATATTTTGAGAGTTAAAGTGGCCACTAATACTTGAAGAGAGAAACTTAAATATAAATGTACCTGCTTGGATTTACTGTTGGTTAGCCAGTTTGTGTGTCAGTTCTTCCATATGCCCTGTTACTGAATACATAAATAATCAACACACGAAAGCCCTATGCTATGTGGAGTATTTCTGACAAGTAAGGTGAAAAATCTGATTTTGTACTTGTGTCAAATGCTTGATGCGTTATAGCACACGTAAATTAAAGGCCTGTACTTCATGTTGGAGCTTCCGTAAGCATTATGAGATATACTGAGGAGCTCAGTTCTTCAAATGCCGTATGTCTTTCCCACAGTGTAAGGATCATGTTTTTGTGAATGGTTTTAGAGACCCTGAAATCGATGTGAGTTGACAGCAATGTATAATCACTCCTTGGAGGCTATCTTGAGTGTTAGGAGATAATGTGACTTGTTCCTGAACTTTTGCTTCTGCCAAGAAAAGGAATGTCTTCATGTATTATTCATTCTGTGTTTTGCTTTTTCTATAGTAAGCTGTTAGAATGCAAACTGGTTTAAGTGCTGAGGCTATTTTAGTTTACTATAAGAATATTTTTCTTAATGTTTGAAATATGGCATTGCATTAATAGTGAAAAACTGAAAGATTAAGGATTTAGGATAGAAGAGATATTTCTTAGGGTCATTCTTTCATATATGTTTATATTTTGCATGCTAAGTTAAAGGATTAGAGAATGATTTAAGCTAGGAAAATAAGACAGAATTGACAGTGATGTTGTAAGAAAGTGTGTTCTGTTCTGAGATTCTTGCCCTTCTTGCATTATTTCCTAATTGCACAATAGCTGCTCCAGATAGCTACTTTAGACTTTTTTTTATTATTCCATAGATAAACCCTTTGAGAGATCTGATGTATACAAGCATTGGTCACGATTTTTAGTGGGAATTGTGAAAGACTGGAAATAGCAGCCAAATTTGTTGAGAATTTTTGCCAAAGTCCATGCTTTGGTCTAAATGGAGTATAAGATTTGTATGGGAGAGGGAAGAAAACACTGTTTTACCAAGGAAAGAGGGTACATAGATTCAGAAGACTGATCAGATGCCAGAACCTACTGTTCATTAATTTCTTTCTTTGGCCAGCGGAGGAAAAAAAAACACAGTTATGACCGGGATGGTTTTCTTTTTTTCTGCTGCCTGTTCTGTGTTCGCTTTCTCCATCTTCCATGGGTGGGGTTTTTTCCTTCAATTCCTCTTCTCTATTCCACTTTTTTAAAACTTACATTCACGGAGTCTTGCTTGTTCTTCCTTTGCTTCCTTCTGTCCCTTTTTGCTGCCTTTACTAACAACACACGTATGGGCACTGGAAGAGTAGAGGTATCTGTAGTTTGGCTTGGTCTGTGCCCATCTGCAATACCAGAGCTTGATTTTGTTCTTTGTTAGCCATGGCCCAGAGTAGAAACAGGAGCACTCATCAGAGTGAGAGCAGTGTGAAATGAGTTCAGACAGGACCTGATAAAAATGAAGCGTGGCAGTAGCAAAAAGCATGCAGTAGCGTCCCCAACCCCAAAATGCTGTTTGGAGCACCTCTGGAGCCATCTTGTGCACTGTGCCCATAGCGATTACAATATATTTTTTTTTTCAGGAATTTTGCCCCTGGATTCTGAAGAGTCTGGTCTTTGTGAAGTTGTTCTAGTTCATGAGCATTACTTGGGTACGTAGTTCATGTAGTTTGCTAATATTTACATTTCCTGTATCTTTTGACTTCAGTTTAGCTTTTCTAATGGGGAGCTAATTAACTTGGACAAAGTTGGACTTGTCGCTATACAGAACAAGTTTGCCCAATTTGGACATTCTGTCTACTCCACCTCTTCAGAGAAACTTTGAATGTACTCTCAAGGGTTTGGGTTTGGTTTTTTTTGCTGTTATCATTTAATGAGTTAATGTTTTGCCTAAACCACACAAGCTGACTTTTTTTTTCCTTTTTTCCTTCTAACTTCCCTCTTCGTTGCTACATTGTCTTTCTACTTTTTCCTCACCTCACCTGTCACAAAATTAAATAAGAAATTTGCTTTTTTCCTCACTTTGGCTCAATCCAGAAATATCACTTGTGACTGGGCTAACAAATTGAATAAAATTAGCAGACTAGAAGCTGGAGAAATTAATTTTCAGGGAATAAGAATCAGGGAAGACCTAGTATTGAAAGATTCATTTGTTTATGTTGACTTATTTGAAGATGAAATCTTCCTGACTTAGCTATAACACTTTTTGCAAAGTAAGTCATTAACTTGTGCAGATGAATATATAAGTTTTATTATTTCTTACGCTTAAAAGTATAAATCAAGCAAAATGAAATCTAGAGGTCTGTGCTGCCTTATCACTATCTACAGTAACTACAGGCAGAAAATATTTTTTATTTTATATTACATTTAGTAGCTTTGTGATACGTAGTATGAACTGGCTCACTGAGTGATGATCCCTAATATTTTTTTCCAACACACTGATAAATGATCCCAGGTGATCATATTGCTTATGTTGGTTTATAGCTTCCCTGATTTGGGCTAAACTGTCAATTCTTATGCTTAAAGGGGCAGGCCAAACTTTTCCAGTCTCTTTTCTTTCTAGTGTGCCTCAAAAGGATTGTGCTTACTTCAGTTCTATGCTAGACTCTCAGCTGGGTTATGATTTTTCTAGCTTAATATCAAGATCTCCATTAAATCATGTAAATTGCTGACATTAAAATTGGTGTTTGAACTTGTGATTTCTAGTTAACGTAGTAGTTCATTAATGTTACCTCCCCAGGCTTTTATGCATGTAGATAGAATGGGAAAACTCTTACTTGTCTTGTAGGTTGAGACAACAGAAAGCAGAGATGACAAATCATGTTATCTTGACCTTTATCTCTCTTAGAAAGTGCTATAACCTCCAGGAGCTGTAGAGAAAGAGAATTAGGAGCTCATGGGTTGGAACTCGCATTAATATGTTTTCTGTCAGAATTGTCTTTTGTGAAAAGGAGAAGACGCCTCCTCAGATCATTTCTGTCAGGAGGTTATGGTACAAAGTGTGTCTCTTTCTTTTCCTGATTTAAATACTGTATTTGTATTTGAGCTTGCTCACAGGAGTGCTGCACAAGCAAACTTGATTACTTGATAACAACTGCCTTTTCCACTTCGACTCCTTATAGCTGACTTAACACTGCCGTGGGCCACAACATCAGAATCTTGCCTTTGTGAAATAGATCAACATTGCACCTGCAGATGATTTGACTTCTATGATTTTCTTTCATGTTTTAAAAATGGATGAAGTCTAGAAAGTAACTCTGAGTGAAATGTCAGGAACTTGCTGCTTTTTTTTCCCTTGTTTTGTTTGTTTTTTCACCAAAATTAGTTCGTAAACCAGAAAAAGTTTGTTGGGTTGAAGCAGCTGGGACTGTTCGTGATGGTGTCCGAGCATACACGGCTTTACACTACCTTTCCCAAGTCTCTCGTGGAAAAACTGTCCTTGTAATGGATGGAGCAAGTGTAGGTAACAACTGTGCAATAATAATAATAATAATATTTTTGGAACAGAAAGATTACTTCTGCCATAAACAACTGTCTTATCACCAGAACAACTGGATTTCTTACAACATACTAAACTTATCAAGCCTTGTATTTTACTCCTGGCAGTGTCCTTAACTTAATGGATTAATAGGAAAGGCCCTCCCATACAAGGCACTGAGCCAAGAATTCAGTCCTTTACATACCGTGTGGGTAGTGAAGAGGTAGTTCTCTTCTGGTGTTTTTACATTGACATAGTTTTACCCTAAGCCCTCAGGTATATCTGGAGGAAAGTGTCTTAATTTTTCTTTCCTTCCCCACCACTGCTTTTTAACTTCTCTTAGATATAAATAATTTCATGTGTGTAACTGCAGTCGTTATTGCTAATGAAGATGTGGAGAGCTTGCCTCAGCCAAGACTCGTTAATGTAAATGTGGCCGGGGCTTTTTCCTTGGTGGCTTTTTTCTTGGTAGCACTTCTTCCTTCAAGAAGCAAGCAAGCTGAAAGCTACAGGTTGCAATTGTAGTTATAGTACTTGTGTTACTTAAAGTAGAATCTGAGCTATTTTATTGAAGAGGAGAACTAGTTAACTCCTAAAAGTTTGTTCAGAGCTTCCCAGTTAATTATAAGATTTTTTTTTTGGCCTCACTTGGAACAGAAGCAGATCTGTGAATATTTGAATTCTTGATTCAGGTGTGTTTTATTGAAGGAGTCAGTTGCTTTCTGGATACTCTCTTGACGTCTCCTGAATGTCCTTTGGAATATAATCTTTCTTAAACTACACCAAATTGTTGCTGTAAATAAATTCATTTACCTCTTTTCTTCTGCAGCCATTCGGTACAATAGCTATTCAGTTAGCACAACACAGAGGAGCTAAAGTAATCTCTACTGCATACAGTATTGAAGATAAGCAGTATCTGGAGAGGCTTAGACCTCCTGTGGGTGAGTTATATTCTTCAGTGCTAAAGTTTATGCTAGAGAATGTCTTGAAATTATTATTTTATTTTTTTTTTTAGTCTAAGGAGTTATTTCAGTAGCTGAAAACTGAAATACAAATTTATAAATAGTCTAAATACATAGTTTTAAAATTTGTTCTGTATTCAATAGGTATTTAATCCATATTTTAGCTGTATTTAATAGCATTTTTATTCTTCTTATAAGTTCTGATGACTGTCTCTCGGTATTTTCCATCTTGCACAATAGAGCTTGAGCACTGACTTTTGGCCTAACTACTCAAGAAGTCTTTTCATTTTATAAAATTGTTGCTTGTGAACAAGAAGAAAGCATTACTAAATCACGAGTCACAGGATGTAATCTAGGTACCTGAACCAGAGTTCAGATGTAATCATATGCTTGAGAAACAGTATTCCTCAGACTCAAATTACTTCTAAGAGTATTTATCAAGCTGTGTGGCAGCTCACTTTTAAGTGCTGTCGTAACTGCAGCTGTGGATGCTCAATGGCTCTGCATTTTCATATTTTCCAAATAAGCTTTGCATTAGACGTAATACTTCTAGCCATCTATTACTTCTTCCATTTCTTCTCTTTGGTGCTTAATTTTTTGGGAGGTTTTCCCTCAAAATAAGTGCATTTGGGCCATGGGAAAAGACTCTATGTAAAAACTACTAGCATCTTTCCTGATCAAACTTTTTCTTATTTCAGTGTTTCTTGTTTCAGTGGAGACAAGTAGAATATTTATTTATTCCATTTTAAAATGGCATGGGAAAGTCCTGTTTGCCAGCAGTCCATGAACTTTGCTGTACAGTCAACAAAAGTTTAAAACTAGTGTCTGATACTTCCTCCTCAAAAGGCAAAAACTGCCCCAGTATAATCACCAGGTTTATTTTTCAGTGTATGATTTTTGTTGTCATTCAAAGAAGTATGAGTAGCTGTGTCTCTTATAAGAGTCTCTTTGTGAGGAAAGCACTGTGTAGCCAGTTACCATGTCTACCTATATTACAGTTGCGTCAATCAAAACATACATGGGTAAAGATGAGATCTGATTTAAAAGATGTCAAGGATACTGACTCCTCTGACTCCTTTCTCCTTTGTTTTGCATAGTAATATTGTCAGCAGTCTTGGCTTCCCAGATGGAGAATTGGAGCAGTTTTCAAATCTCTTCTCTTGTTCTTACTGACTCACTAAAATCAGGCATTGCTGATACGCAGGTGCACATAGTATTGTCCTTGTGTTCTCCCTGCTGGCTCAGGAATAGCAAGCTTGCAGAGGGATTAAATAAGCCAGAGAGCTGCTCTTTAGACACAGAGAGAACAGAGTTCTTGTCAGTTTTAATTCCTCTCTGGCTCCCGAGAGCAGATCTGGCAGGGGAAGCACAGAGACAACACAGTGTGCATGTGCATTCTGGGGCTGCACGTTCACACACATCTGCAGTGTTGGGGAGCGATTCACTTCCAGCCTACCAAGTGGGTCTTTAGCTCTTCCCGTAGTGGCTTTGGAGTGCTGATAATGCAGCAGGAAGTGGAGTGCTGTGCAGAGGTTGGTACACAAGAGCACGGAGAAAGACACTTTTGCTGTCTAACCTTAATGATCTTCAACAGGGAACTGCACAGTTCTGTAATGGGAATTTGGGAATGTAATATTGTTGTCTAAGATCTGGCAGACTTACTTATCTAAATTTTTATATTTCCTTTATTTTTTGCAAGTTCACAAAATAGCTGGTTTTTTCCTTATCTCAGAAGTCTTTTTTTTTACTGTAATAATAGATATTACATCAGAATTTAAAGCATTTTTGTGAATGCTGTTGTGGAGGTTTGTTATGCCAAACGTTACAGGGTGAAAGAGTAAAAACATTACAAAGCAACATTTTAGTCTTTTGTATTATGGTATATTTTGCTAATGATATGAAAACTTTATTAGCTAAGAAAGGACTTTGCAGTTAATTTTATTATCACAATCCCATCAGCACATATGAATATGACTTTAGCATATTTACTTTCTGCTGGCGTGTTTAAGTTATTGAATGTTAATGTAAAATAAATGCTTTAAGTAACCCAAGCGTAGCCAGCTATATCTAAGCTGGCTTCTAATGTCTGTGGGTGGAGGCTTTTTCAGTTTTCTGCTTGTTTAGTGGGGGTTTTTTTGTTTAGTTTTTAGCAAAAGTTTATCAGTTGTCAAAGAGCAGCAGTTTGTGTTATTAGTGTATAACATAATTAGTTGCTTCATAAAATGGCTGAAATAACCATCTTTTGCTGTAAAAAAAGGCCATTGCAACATTTTAATTGCAACTTTACTTCAAATAAAGAGATGTAACCTGGGGAGAGCGTTAAAGAGGGAAACACCGAGTGTGAAAGCAAAAAGCCACTGGTTTTGCATTTTGGGTCTTTTAGTGAGGCACTGGCACAGGTTGCCCAGGGAAGTTGTGGATGCCCCCTCCCTGGAAGTGTTCAAGGCCAGGTTGGACAGGGCTATGAGCAACCTGGTCTGGTGGGAGGTGTCCCTGCCCATGGCAGGGGGTTGGACTGGATGATCTTGTTTCACACTAGAGACAATTATTACGTAACTAGTGTGATGAGTTTCTATTAAAGAACAGAAGGACAAAATATATATACATACATATACATACATATATATACATACATATA